ACGTGGGCCTCTCACCGCTGTGGCCTCTCCCGTTGCGGAGCACAGGCTCCAGACGCGCAGGCTCAGCGGCCATGGCTCACGGGCCCAGCCATTCCGCGGCATGTGGGATCCTCCCAGACCGGGGCACAAACCCATGTCCCCCGCATCAGCAGGCGGACTCTCAACCACTGCGCCACCAGGGAAGCCCAGAAAAGGGCATTTTTAATTGATTCTCCATAGTTCAACCACAGCCATCTCCCTGCAGCTTCAGGCTATGTGTTTTCAACCTGGAAACTCAGCCCCTCTGTTCACGTCCAAGTCACTGATTGGCAGGCCCAGCTTTGGGGGGGACGGCCAATCCTGGGCACACTGGCCACATGCAGCCAGAGAAAGCTGAAAACCCATCTAAGGAATAAAGAAAGAAAAGCACAGGGATGTGGGGACTGAGCTCCACACCCTACACCCCGGACAGGGGGTGCTCGTCACACCTGAGGCTCGAGGGAGGCTGCGGGAATCAACCGTGCCTGCCTCTTTAGTTGTAAAACCTGACTGGGAGGGTGAAACTGCGCCCTTCGCCTCTCCTGGAGAGGAATCGGTAAGGATTCCCAGGGCCAGCACTTTGTAAGCCTTTTATTTGGAAATAATTTCAAACTGACCGAATAGTCCCAAGAATAGCGACTGTAAAGCTTAGCTTAACATTACCACCAGGGCCGGCACTTTTTATAACCTAAGAAACTTTACAAGCATAAAACCACTCAGGGTTCAGTGTTAATTGACGTGAACGATCGCACGTAAAGCCCTGAGCTCGTGTCGCATTCCCACCTGACACAGGACCCGTTGGGGCCACAGAGAAATGCCGGCGGGTCCTTCCGGCCCGGACGGGGCGCCAGGTCAGGGTTGGTGGACAGAGCAGCAGTGCCCGGCCCTTCCTTCTGAGCAGGTCCCGGCCACCGCTCCGCAGTTCCAAAGCACGAGTGTCTGACGTGGCTTGTCCTCCCCCGGCTTCCCCACCGTTAGGATGACAGAGGCAGAGGGACCTCATGGGCACAGCGTCCAGTGAGGAGGTCCCAACACACATATTTGAGCGAAAAGCCTGGGAAGTCTTGGGGCACTGGCTCCGGGACACCTTTCATCTTACTGATTTAAGAGGGGCCTGAGGAGTGTCGGTGGGAAGTTGAGGACTTTGGTTCTAATGATGGGATGGCTGGGGTAGCGGATGCGTGTTGGGTCAGTTTTGGAGGAAACGAGGGGAGGGACAGGAGGAAGGACTGCAATTGGCCTACACAATCTGTATCCGTCAGACTGTGAAGGTCACCGAGCTGCGTCCTGCAAGAGGAAGTTGAACTTCTGAAGATTTCTTAAACCCACAGAGCAACTGAGAACAGAATGAGGGTGACTGGGAAGAACTCACGATGTGCCGCGCAGCGAACACGCCGTCCACGATGGCACAGCAGAAGGCGGCCACCACGCCGAAGCTGACGAACACGATGGCCGCCACCAGCTGGAAGCAGAGACAGGAGAGGCTCAGTCTCATCAGAAACCTTCCCCGAGAGCCCCCCCACCGCTCGAGGCCCCCTGCCCCGACCCCCGAAGTTGCTCGGCAAGGTCCTCATTTCCCACCACGGCCTCTCCCGAAACCCTCCACGACGGCCAGGGCAGCGCCCCAGGCCCGATCCCACTAAGCAAGGCCTGTCCTGGTTGCCTTGTTTATTTCACAGGGTCGGAGGCAGGAGCTCGTGGATGGGGAGCTGTGGCCCACACACACAGCCTTGTGGGTAACGGCAGGCCTCCCAGGGTATTTAAACGGTTTGCAATCTCTTGCTTTTACAGACTCTGCTACAAAGACCCTAATTACATTCTACATAAAAGTCTGGGCTCACACACGCGTGCTTCTGCAGGACCATCTCCTGGAACACACAGGGACCCACGCTTGCCAACAGGACAAGGTAGGGCGTCTCTGCATGTCAGAATCTGAGGGGGCATGCGTTTCACTCCCACGCCCCACGGCCAGACACCCACCCCCTGATGTCCCAAAGGACACACGGCTCGCTGCTCGTTTCTCGGTTCTGCCATCTGATGGCAGAAAAAGCCTCGCTGCCACTCCATGTGCATTTCTGTTATTATCAAGGCTGAGAACCTGTTCTTACGTCTGTTGGCCATTTCTTTAATTTTTTTTCTCTCTCTTGGGGAACAATTTCAGGTTTACCAAAACAGATAGCAAAAGTGGTACCAAAATCCCTGTATGTCCTGCCACTGGCGACACCAAGTGTCCACCCTGCCAACCACGGCAGGACCCCTGTGGCAGCCACGAGCCATGGCGTCAGTGCATTCACTCCGTCCTAGAAGGTGTGTAAAGTAATCGGGATTTCCAACCCAGACCTTGTGAACAAGAAGCTGCGAGCTAGAGCACGATGCGTGCGTGCAGGTCGTCTGCCTTAAGCTTGGAGAACACGGCCAGAAGCTGCCTCCCACCACCCGCGTCCCTTGGTTGCCTCTTTCCCCGTGGCCGAGTCAGGCTCTGGGGTTACTGACCTGCACGGCCTCACCCTCCCACCCTCGTCAGCCTGAGGAATTTGTTTCTTCAACAAAGCACAGGGATTGGCATGAAACGTGGGCAGGTTTGACAGACTGCAACTTTGATTTCCGTTTTGACGTGAGGCTCCCAGTGGCTACTCAAGGGGCAGAATGGGCAGGAGGGCCACACAAGGCTGTCCCAAGGGGAAGGGTGGCCGGGCTCCCTCCTCACAGTCCACAGGCCTGAGGCCCAGCCCCACATGTTACTTCCAAGTGAAGCCTGTCCCCTGACACCGCACGTCAGAGCTGTCACCCAGCCTTGCGGGGGTCTCTGCCCTGCTGACCCCTTTGGTCCTGTGTCCCCACCCGGAGAAGGAGCCGTGCGGCTGACCTCTCCATGTGCTGGATCCACGCCCTGCAGGTGCCGTGTGGATGCAGGTGTGACAAGCCAGTCTGCTGCCCTTGGCCCTTCCCCCCATGTGACACTTCTGACAGTAATGGAGAATTGAACAAAAGGGACCTTGGGGACCCCCTGCGGGAGCCATGCAGAGGACCCTGCCTGCATCTGAACAATGGCAGCGACCTCGCCTAGGGGCTCTGCGGAGCCCCGGTCGGACCCACGTTCCGCCCAGGTGCTCTAGGTCTACGAGGCAGGAGCTGCCCTGAGACACGAGGCGGGGTCCCACGCCAGCAGGGCCTCGATGCCGAGCAGGGAGGCCAGGGGCAGACCCTCCCTCATTTCGGGGGAGGAAGACCGCGTCGTCCCTTCCCGTGAAGTTACTGCACACAAACAACGCGGCTAAGCTAGAGTGGTGGGAAAAATCACTGCAGAAACCACACCGAACCAAGCCTTCCCAGGCTTGTCCTGCCTTGTGACAAACTACATGGAAACACATAGAAGACTCAGAAGACACTTCTCTGCTGTCCGGGGAGCCAGGCAGGCCGCGTCTCCAGCCAGGCCCGCGTCTCCAGCCAGGCCCGCGTCTCCAGCCAATGAAAGGCCTGCGTCTGCTCTGGCTGCCGCGTCCTCCCAGCTTCCTCCCTGGACCTTCCAGCCGCCCCGGGCTCGCACCCTTCGCACAGAGACGCTCAGCCCACGGTTCGTGCTTCGTAGAGGCTGGAGCACGAGGCCGCCCCATCTTGTCTTAGCATCGGCCGGAGAGCAGGGCAGCTCCTGTGACTGACGGCGAGGCCCCTGGATGCCGTAGCCCGACAGGAAGGACGCGGTTCCTGCTGGGCAGAGCTTCCGGCCAGAGGGGCCCCAACACAGAGACGCGACCTGAACAACATCGCTTTGGAGCCCCAAGTCCTTCAGCACGGGGCACACATCTCATCCTGACACCCCAGCTGCGTAGGGAGGGAAAGCACCAGTTCTGGCCTGGAACTCCCACCCCAGCCTTACGGAGAGGCCACAGTTACAGCCAAGTTCAGGCGCAGCCCCGGCCCCTCCCAGACCCCCCAGTAGTTGTGACCTCAGGAAGGGAGGATGACTTTCTGGCACAAAAGCAATGGGAGGGGCAAACTGCTCCCCCAGCAAGTGTTCCCCAGCACCTGCTTTGTCCCAGACACCGGGCTGGCACCGGGTCCAGCCGTGCACTCGGTCCGGGATACCTGCTCCTGCAGACAGCCACGCAGCCTGCGGCCTGACACCCCTGGGATGGCACCGTTCCCCCTCCCCACCTCCCTCAGGGCCGCTGCCAGTGTCCCTAAGGAGTGGAGCTGTCCCCAGTTAGGGGTCTCCTAGGACCAGTGGGTCTGCGGCTAGCCTGGTCACCGGGACCTCGTCAGAAGTGGGTGTCTGCCCAGCCCCGTGTGCTCCAGCACAGGTGCTGGTTCAGGAAGTCCACTAAGCACTGCAGTCGCCTGAGACACTCCCAGAAGTGGCCCCTGAGGCCCTGTTGCTTCTCTCACCACCAGCGGGTGAGCAAAGCCATCGTTGGACCCGCTGCCCTGGTGAGTCTTCCACGCACCAACTCAACGCCTCAGAGGACGCCCTGCTCCACGCTGGCCAGTGGCCGGCTCCGACCCAACTGTGGCTCAGTCACACTCTCGGCCGAGAGACACTCACATCACACCTCCACCGGATTTCATCCAGGTCTCCACAGAAAGCACACAACTTGCAAAGTGTCTCCTAGCACGCAGGGCTGCCCACAGCTGGGTGTGTAAATGTGCTCTGACTCGGTTTGCACACGTCCCCATGACTTGAACGTCCTCATCAACCTTCAGCTGACTCTGCTCGGCTGCCCTTCCTCCCACTGCCCTGGAAAAAGTAAAAGTCAGAGCTAGCACCACCTCACACGTGGTAAACTCGGCACTGGGGTGACCGCACGCGTGCTATTGCCCGGGAACCACCAGGGTCCAGTTGACAGTGCTGGGAAAGACGTTGGAAGTTCTCTCCTCCAGCACTTCGGGCTGGAAATAGGAAAGCGGCCAGGATGAGCCGCTGCCTCTCGGCCAAGGCCTGCATGTCCTGGTTTCGGTCACAGCCGCCACGTCCTTTCCAGGCCTCGCTGCCCCTCAGCAGCCTAGTGGTTTAACAACGTTAGCACAAGGACCCGCTCACGCCCCGAAGGCCCCTCTCTAATACGAGGGCTGCCGGGCCCAACAGATGTTGCAGACAGGGTCTGTGACTCCAGCAACTAAGGAACGCACTAGATTAGGGTTGGGACTGTGTCTCCTTGTCCTGTCAGGGTCTCTTCTGGGAGAAGGGCAGCTGTTACTCAGTGGGGGAAGGTCATCTTCAAATCTCCGTTGGGCCCACAGAGTTTACTCCATTCCAACAGGGGAAAGTGATTTTCAAAAACAAACACCAAACAGATAAGGGTGTGATAAGAAGGAGGCTGCCTGGAGCCAGATGAACGGAAGAAAGTGGAGACGGGAGCAATTAGCCCCGACCACAGGGTCCAGGCAAGAGGCGACGCGGTGGAACCAGGACCAAAGTGAGAGCTGTGAACACACACACCGAGAAGGCGGTAACACCTCAGAGAACTAGAAGAGAACAGCAAACTGAGCCCAGAGCCAAGGCGCCAGCAAAGGCTTAAGCAGAGATAAAGGAGACAGAGGAGCAGAAAAGCAGCAAAGAGAACAGAGGTAGCTGCAAGTTGGTTCTTTGAAACTATTGACAAAATTGACACGCCTTGTTTGGTTCTTGGCCTTATGTGCCAAGAGCATCCACCCCCCTGTCCCGGCCTCGGGATAGACCTTCCAGCCCTTCTCCACCTTCACTGCCTCTCCCCTGTCCACCCCAAGGGCCCCCCAGCTGCATGTACACGTCGAAGCCCCATGAGTTCAGGGTCTCCCCCACCCCCAGCCCCAGCCCCCAGCTCAGCATCGTGCAGCTGCTCCAGGAAGCATTTGTTGAAGAAAGAACTGGAGGGGTGTGCAGGCCCTTTGGCGGAGCACGGGGTTGGAGGTGGGACAGCGTGTGAACCTGGCCACCACCCTCCCGCCCCTGCCTGCCAGGAACCCCGTCACTAGTGGGCCCTCACGGGGAAGGCCCAGTCCCCCCTGCACAGCCTCCACGTGGGTCACCGTGGACCTCGCAGGCTTCCTCCCCGATGGCCCTCGGATCCCCCAGCACCCCAGTGTCTGCCTGCCCAGCCCTCGAGGCCTTACTGTCTCAGCCCTGCCCAGCTCCGTCCTGGCGGGGCAGAGACCAGCTTGGTTTCTACACGGGAAGGTGAAGAGCCGAGGAGACTAGCGTAATGTCAAGACCCGGAGCAGGGGCTGCCTGAGGGCACAGCCAGGACCCTCTCACACAATGCTCGAAGGAGCAGAAGCCCAACAGATGGAGGCCGGTACCTAATGCTCTGTAGGAAACGCACTTCTATCGCTAAGTGACGTCCCATCAGTCCTTCTAGTTCAGGGGGTTTGAAACTATGTTCCAGGAAGATTCCAGTGTATGCGTCTGTGTGTGTATCTGTGTGTGTGTGTATATGTGTGTCTATGTATGTCTCTGTGTGTGTGTATGTGTGTGTGTGTCTCTTGTGTGCGTGTGTGCACATGCACGTACATACGGCTGGGGGTGGGCGGAGGCGGCAGTTAACAAGCTGCTTTAAGCCCTTAACTTCTCCATCCCCGGCCGTGGGGACCAAGCTAGACTGCAGAGCTGTTGGTGAAATCAGGGACTCTGATGTCTGAGCAAGGAGAAAGCAAGAACTCATTCGTCAATGGGGAAATATCAGAAGCTGACTCCGCTGAGGGCATTCTTTGGACATCACTGGAGACTGATGCCATAACGGGCAGAGATCGTGGAGGAGCCATTTGTAATGATTAGATTCCACCCCTTAGCTTGAGCAGAGTAAAATGTTTACAGACAAAATGATACCATGTCTGGGACTTGCTTCAAAATACCACTCAAAATCGGTCGTGAGTCGACAACGGATGAAGTTGGGAGATGGATACAGAGGGTTTGTTATACTATTCTGTCCACTTCTGCATATATTTAAAATTTTCTATTGCAAAAAATTAAAATAAAGAGAAAGCGAGGGAAAAGAGAGTGTTCTTACAAACCTCGATGCATTTGAAACAAGCACTGTCTCTAGTTGATATTTTCTCAGCTTTGCTATTGTTTCCTTTTGCTACAACTTGAATGTTTTGACTGACCCACGTGCTTTAATACAATAAGTAACAATGGCTACTAGTCTCCGAACACCCGTTACGGACCAGCGCTGCACTGGATATTCTCGCATGCGTTAACTCAGATGCTCAACAATCCTGAGTGTGAAGAAACTGAGGTTCACAACAGTCAAGATGACAGAGATACTAATGGTCGACACAGGTTTCAGCTCTCACAAATACTAACTTAAATGTTAGATAGTGAAGCACGTGTTTATCGTACAAGGTAAATCTGGAGGAATGCTTTCCTGAAAGGCCAAAATGAGATTCTACAGGCAACACACGCAACCTCAGGCAGAAAGCTCTGGTCTATGGAACCTGGTGGCCGCATCTTGCCTGGGGTTCAGGGTGGCTTCCTGGGAGGCTGGACCCTGTCTGGGGGCTAGGGTCAGTTCTGGATTTTTATCCTCCCACTCCAAGGCCCACATTTCTTTTGCCAAAGAAATAGAACTCCAGCAACTATTTTGGAAAGGAAGAATCTCCATTTGTGGTACACTATCCACTACACTCCATACACTATCTCCATTTGTGGGTGACATGACTGCATAGACAGACAATCCTCAGGAATCCACTAAAAAACTATTAGAACTAATGAGTGAGACCAACAGGGTTGCAGGATATAAGAGCAACATGCAAAAATCAATTGTATTTTGTTTTTTTTTTGCGGTACGCGGGCCTCTCACTGTCATGGCCCCTCCCGTTGCGGAGCACAGGCTCAGCGGCCACGGCTCACGGGCCCAGTCGCTCCGCGGCATGTGGGATCTTCCCGGACCGGGGCACGAACCCGCGTCCCCTGCGTCGGCAGGCGGACTCTTAACCGCTGCGCCACCAGGGAAGCCCCTCAATTGTATTTTTATACATTTGCAATGAACAATCAAAACACAAAGTTAAGAAAACAATTCCATTCACAACAGCCTCCAAAAGGATAAAATACTTAGGAATAAATTTAACAAAAGAAGCGCAAAACTTCAACTCTTAAAACGACAAAATATTGTTGAAAGAAATGAAAAAAGATCTAAAGAGATGGAAAAACATCCCCAAGTTCACGGGGCAACACTCCCTCAACCGACCTACAGATTCAACACAATTTCTATCAGAAGCTCACAGATCACAGAACAGACTTGAGAGTCTAAAACTAAACACACACATCTATGGCCCAGTGGTTATCAATTCGGGTATCAAGACCATCCAACGGAAAAAGGACAGTCTCTTCACTGAATGGTGCCAGGACCAGTGAGTAGCCATATGCAAAGCTTGAATGTGGACCCCTATCTCACACCATATACAAAATCAACTCAAAATGAACCAAAGACTTAAATGTACGTGATAAAACTCTTAGAAAACATAAGGGTAATCTTCATGACCTTGGAATTGGCATGAGAGTCTTAGAAATGGCACCAAAATCACGAGCAACAAAAGAAAAATTAGATAAGTCGGGCTTCATTAAAATTGAAAACTTTTGTGCCTCAAAGGACACCACCAAGAAGGTGAAAAGACAATCCATAGGATGGGCTAAAATCCTTGCAAATCATATATCAGATAAGGGACTTGTATCTAGAATACATAAAGGACTGACAACTCAACAATAAAAAGACAAGTAACCCGATTTAAAAATGGGCAAAGGACTTGAATAGACATTTCTCAACGACAACCAGAAACAGATACACAAAAAGCCAATCAGCACATGTAAAGAGGCTCAACATCATTAGTCATCAAGCAAATACAAATGCACAAGGAGACCCCACTTCACACCCAACAGAAGGGCCAGAGTAGCAGACGGCAGCACACACTTTACTCTATGGTAAGTCTACGTGTAACATTTTGAGGAGCTGCCACGCTGTTTTTCAAAGTGGCTGCATCATTTCACATTCCCGCCAGCTGTGTGCAAGTCTCCACTTTCTCCACATCTTCACACACCCGTGAGAGCCCAGGGCAGCCACTGTGATCCCGGTGATGCCTCAGGATGATGGCCAGTGCAGGTAGAGGCAGAAACTCCGGCACAGTTACGATGATTTGGAGATGAGACAGAAACAGCATATGGTCCAACCGCATCCTCCCTGAACCCTCTCAGAAGTCAACACTGGCTGGCACAATGATTTGGCAAAATTAACTATTTTGAATTAACTAAGAATTAACTATTCTTATAGCTCTCTTCCCCAAAGCACTGCATCAACAAGACAGATTCCAAATTGAAATGATCAATAAAAAGTCAGGTTTGTAACCTGACGGATCAAGGTTGGCCCTCATACGTCCCACAGTTGTAGACATGCCCTCTGCAAAGAGCTCTGAACCACGGTTGCCTGGTTTTCCACTGACCTCAGTCTGGGAGAGCCGTCGTCACACCCCAGACGTAGGAGGAGATGCCAGGCTCCTGACTCAAGGACAGATGTTCATACACGCATGTTTTTGCCTGAACCTTATACACCATGATTTAAACTAATTGCCAACCTTCCCAACCCACCCCATCCCCTAAACTTTTCTTCCCGTGGCCCAACCTTAGCTGCTAAGACACCACATGAGGTTGTAAAATGTACCCTACAATCCCAGGGGCGATGCTCACTTAGCCTAAGATGTGAATGGCACCCACTCAACCCTGAGTCCTGGGGTGTATAGTCCACAGCCTGGGAAGCTAGGCACTGATGCTGGGGGTGCTGGATTGGGGCAGGGGCTTTCCCAGGAACACCCACAGCTATAGGGGCAGCACTCCCCCCCCACCCCGGGTACAGCCCCACGAACCACATTTGAAAGAAACAATGCACATTCTTACCATCTGCTTTCTATTCTCCACCAGGTTGATGCCAATAATTCCTAAGAAAGATCCGAAGCCCAGCTGACACCAAAGGAAAACAAGGGAGAAAGCGCTCGGGTTACATGCCTGGCAGCCTAATGCCCACAGGGAACAGTGACCACCCACCTCAGGACATCCTACCAAAAAGCAAGGCCAACCATCCCCCCCTCACAGAGCCCGAAGCTCTAAGCGGCAGGTAGGCTCATGCCCGTTGGGGTGGGCTTCTCGGGATCCATCAAAGCCAGTGATCGGGATAGAAGCTGCTGAAACAGACCTGTCTCATCTTCCGTGTTCAAATGTTTTAACTCCTACGTCAGTTTAACTCTCGATTCCTGGAAATGAGTGTCACGTGCCCCCCACCCAGACAGGAGAACTTTCTCTTGGTGACCCATCCTCCACGCCTGGTGCTCAGGGAGAGGCCCGTCTGAGAGCTTCTCCTGGGCCGTCGTGGGAGGACGGCTGACCCCTCAGGGAGTATCATAGGAAGCTGGAACCAAGGGTGTTTCCGACACGCACACGGCTGACACCCCTTAGAAATGAGCTTTTGACTCAGGTGAGCAGGCAGACGGTTAACCTTGGGGCAGGAAGAGGTGGGATGGGGGCTCCAGCCCAGGCAGGACGGGCACCCGGAGGCTCCTGAGAACCAGTCCGCTTGTTCCTCGGCCTCAGCTCTCGGCCTGGGTGCAGGTGACGCTGGGACATTGGAGAAACACCACGACTATGCTCATCTCGCATCACCCGAGTGTGCCCAGGGGTGCCGGCGGCCTCATCCCCCAACACCCGCCTGGGAAGAATTCCTAAGTTTCCCCTCAGCCTGAAGAACAGAGCTCCAGCAACGCCAGGGGAGGCACCGCTCAAAGCAGCCGGTGACAAGCCCCTCTCAGAGGCACAGGGCCGCCCCGAGACCCCGCACTGGAGCCCACCCAGTGGGTGGCCCTCGGCTCTGCCCGGCCCGTCGGATTCTGAGTGACCGTGCGAGGCAGAGGCAGCAGCCTGGGGACAGCCGCGCGACTGACCCACACAGCTGTGGCATCTCTAACCATGGTGCCAGATTTAATGCCCTAAAAATGAGACCTATTTATGTCCAAGGATGTCTTTGCCTGCAAGTGTTATATCTATGGAGATATGATGCTATGTAATATATATATGTATATATTATATGTATATAATATCTATGGAGACGGACGTGGATGCACAGGTGTAATTTTCACCAATAATTTAAGAATTCTCAAGGAGTGACGGAAGATGAGCATTTTCTTCAAAATATCACAAAATCCCTCCAACATAAATGTATGAAAATATATGTTAAGTCTCGCTAAGTTGCATTGTTTGGATTTGAAAAAATTCCTCTTTCCAAAACGTTGAGGTGTTTGCACCTCCTCACCCAGTTTCTTCCTGAGACCCGTCCTTGCTATAAGTCTCAAGGTCGGATGCCACGCGTCCACAGAAGTGACTTTCATCCACATTTTCTTTGAGCAAACCTCATCTGTTATGGCCACTGTTTGCTTTCAGAACCGTTGAGCTGAAGCCAATTTCACTCTGGTTCTCGCCCAGGAGTCAGGGTCTCTGCAGAGCGAGGCTCTCAACACACCCAGGATGTTCCAAAGGTGATCTCCAGGTGAAATCCTGAACCAGTGAAGCGTAGAGAACACTGCAAAATCCTACTCGAGACTGACCTGCCCTGCCGGTCACCTGGGGGATGCGTCCTCACAGCCGCCAGCCTCCACAGCCCTGGCTCCCCTCTGGTCCAGGACACGGGGCCGGGAAGCAGAGTCTCATGGGAGTTCACTGAGAACACTACCGGCACAGACACTATTTATGTAGGTTTACTCAGAAAGTATACACAGGAGGATAATGTAGATTTATAAAGCACAGATAAAATCTAAAAATAAAGAAAAATATAAACGGAAAATGAATGATATTTGTAAAGTATCTTAAAATATTTTCATCCTTGTTAAAATGTTACCAACATCATGACTAAGCTGGACGATACCTCTAGCGAGAGCAATGAGATGAAATAAGCTTCATTTTTTAAAATCTTGGTTTAGCTCTTTGTGACACAGCCCCTCAGGGCTCTGGTGCATTCGCAGGGCATCATATCTGATAAAAAGCAATTTCACAGACGCTCCTTGAGTGCGATGCAGACGCTTGGAGCAAATTTTACTGCCAACAAATGGACACAATTCCACAGTTCAGGAGTCTGGAGGATTCGGGATTTGGGGGCCGCTGTTGCCAGGTCTGGCTGGGCTGTGGGTTTACCTCGTGGGGTTATTGCCCAGAAGCGGAGGTGAGGACCACGTCAGCTCGTTTTCCTGCTGATCCCATGCGGT